ATTATTGATAGAAGACGAAGAGACACGTCCACACAGCAGGATTTAGTCCTGTTAAATCCTGTTTTAGTCCTGGTTATAGACCTGGTTTAGACCTGGTTTAGATCTGGTTTAGACTGGTTTAGACCTGGTTTAGTCCTGGTTTGGACCTGGTTTAGACCTGGTTTAGTCCTGGTTTGGACCTGGTTTAGGCCTGGTTTAGACCTGGTTTAGATCTGGTTTAGACCTGGTTTAGACCTGGTTTAGATCTGGTTTAGACTGGTTTAGACCTGGTTTAGTCCTGGTTTGGACCTGGTTTAGACCTGGTTTAGACCTGGTTTAGATCTGGTTTAGACCTGGTTTAGTCCTGGTTTGGACCTGGTTTAGGCCTGGTTTAGACCTGGTTTAGATCTGGTTTAGACCTGGTTTAGACCTGGTTTAGACCTGGTTTAGTCCTGGTTTAGACCTGGTTTAGACCTGGTTTAGACCTGGTTTAGACCTGGTTTAGATCTGGTTTAGATCTGGTTTAGACCTGGTTTAGTCCTGGTTTGGACCTGGTTTAGACCTGGTTTAGACCTGGTTTAGACCTGGTTTAGACTTGGTTTAGACCTGGTTTAGACCTGGTTTTAGTCCTGGTTTAGACCTGGTTTAGAACCTGGTTTTAGACCTGGTTTATAGACCTGGTTTAGACCTGGTTTAGACCTGGTTTAGTCCTGGTTTGGACCTGGTTTAGACCTGGTTTAGACCTGGTTTAGATCTGGTTTAGACCTGGTTTAGTCCTGGTTTACCTGGTTTGGCCTGGTTTAGACCTGGTTTAGACTGGTTTAGACCTGGTTTAGACCTGGTTTAGACCTGGTTAGACCTGGTTAGTCTGGTTTGGACCTGGTTTAGGCCTGGTTTAGACCTGGTTTAGACTGGTTAGACCTGGTTTAGACCTGGTTTAGATCTGGTTTAGACCTGGTTTTAGACCTGGTTTTAGATCTGGTTTAGACCTGGTTTAGATCTGGTTTAGACCTGGTTTAGACCTGGTTTAGACCTGGTTTAGATCTGGTTTAGACCTGGTTTAGATCTGGTTTAGATACCTGGTTTAGATCTGGTTTAGTTAGTACCTGGTTTAGACCTGGTTTAGACTGGTTTAGACCTGGTTTAGACCTGGTTTAGACCTGGTTTAGACCTGGTTTAGGGTTTACCTGGTTTAGACCTGGTTTAGACCTCTGGTTTAGACCTGGTTTAGACTGGTTTAGACTGGTTTAGACCTGGTTTAGACCTGGTTTAGACCTGGTTTAGACCTGGTTTAGACCTGGTTTGGGTTTACCTGGTTTAGACCTGTTTAGACCTGGTTTAGACTGGTTTAGGTTTTAGACCTGGTTTAGTCCTGGTTTGGACCTGGTTTAGGCCTGGTTTAGACCTGGTTTAGATCTGGTTTAGACCTGGTTTAGACCTGGTTTAGACCTGGTTTGGACCTGGTTTGGACCTGGTTTAGTCCTGGTTTGGACCTGGTTTAGTCCTGGTTTGGATCTGGTTTAGACCTGGTTTAGATCTGGTTTAGACCTGGTTTAGACCTAGTTTAGACTTGGTTTAGACCTGGTTTAGACCTGGTTTAGACCTGGTTTAGACCTGGTTTAGATCTGGTTTAGACCTGGTTTAGACCTGGTTTAGTACTGGCTTAGACCTGGTTTAGACCTGGTTTAGGTTTTAGACTGGTTTAGACCTGGTTTAGTCCTGGATTTAGACTGGTTTTAGTCCTGGTTTAGACCTGGTTTAGTTACTGGTTTAGACCTGGTTTAGACCTACTGGTTTTAGACCTGGTTTAGACCTGGTTTTAGATCCTGGTTTAGACCTGGTTTAGTACCTGGTTTGACCTGGTTTAGACCCTGGTTTAGACCTGGTTTAGACCTGGTTTAGTTTAGATCTGGTTTAGACCTGGTTTAGATCCCTGGTTTAGTCCTGGTTTAGACCTGGTTTAGACCTGGTTTAGTACTGGTTTAGACTGGTTTAGACCTGGTTAGACCTGGTTTAGTACCTGGTTTAGACCTGGTTTAGTCTGGTTTAGACCTGGTTTAGTACTGGTTTAGACCTGGTTTAGTCCTGGTTTAGTTGGTTTAGTCTGGTTTAGACCTGGTTTAGACCTGGTTTTAGATCCTGGTTTAGACCTGGTTTAGTCCTGGTTTTAGACCTGGTTTAGTCCTGGTTTTAGGCCTGGTTTTAGACCTGGTTTAGACCTGGTTTAGATCTGGTTTAGATCTGGTTTAGACCTGGTTTAGACCTGGTTTAGACCTGGTTTAGATCTGGTTTAGACCTGGTTTAGACTGGTTTAGATCTGGTTTAGTCTGGTTTAGACCTGGTTTAGACCTGGTTTAGACCTGGTTTAGACCTGGTTTAGACCTGGTTTAGACCTGGTTTAGACCTGGTTTAGACCTGGTTTAGACCTGGTTTAGATCTGGTTTAGTAGACCTGGTTTAGACCTGGTTTAGACCTGGTTTAGACTGGTTTAGGGTTTAGACCTGGTTTTAGACCTGGTTTAGACCTGGTTTAGACCTGTTTAGATCTGGTTTAGACCTGGTTTAGACCTGGTTTAGATCTGGTTTAGACCTGGTTTAGACCTGGTTTTAGATCTGGTTTAGACCTGGTTTAGACCTGGTTTAGATCTGGTTTAGACCTGGTTTAGACCTGGTTTAGATCTGGTTTAGACCTGGTTTAGATCTGGTTTAGACTGGTTTAGACCTGGTTTAGACTGGTTTAGACCTGGTTTAGACTGGTTTAGACCTGGTTTAGACTGGTTAGACCTGGTTTAGAGGTTTAGATCCTGGTTTAGACTGGTTTAGATCTGGTTTAGACTGGTTACCTGGTTTAGATTTGGTTTAGATCTGGTTTAGACCTGGTTTAGACTGGTTGGTTTAGACCTGGTTTAGATCTGGTTTAGACCTGGTTTAGACCTGGTTTAGATGGTTTAGATCTGGTTTAGACCTGGTTTAGATCTGGTTTAGACTGGTTTAGACTGGTTTAGACTGGTTTAGACTGGTTTAGACCTGGTTTAGACCTGGTTTAGACCTGGTTTAGACCTGGTTTAGACCTGGTTTAGAGGTTTAGATCTGGTTTAGACCTGGTTTAGACCTGGTTTAGACCTGGTTTAGATCTGGTTTAGACCTGGTTTAGACCTGGTTTAGACCTGGTTTAGACCTGGTTTAGACCTGGTTTAGACCTGGTTTAGTCTGGTTTAGTGTCCAGCAATGAGTGGAATTATTGAGAAAAAAAACAGATATAGCCCCAAATGTGAAAACAGGAAAATATCGCTGTGTAATCCGTTTATTTCAACAAAGTAACTGTAATCCAATTACCACTCATTGAAACAGTAACTGTAACTGAATACTTTTACTCATCATTTGTACTGTGATTACGTAACGCTGGTACAAGTAATCTGTTACTCCCCAACACTGCTCACAACACATGCCCAGGACGGAGCCTCTCATGTGGGCCTCCTGTGGGTGGAGCAGGTCCTGTGTGAGGGTCACAGCAGGACTGAGCTGCAGCTGCACCAGGTTCAATCAAACTCTGGGACTTTTTGGTTTAAATGTCCATTAGAAGATTTTCAGGTCTATGTGATAATGTGGTTTCCTCATCACAAACACACATGCAGTTGAGTTTGTTTCACTCACATGTTTAATGTTGCATATTTAGGCTGAGTTCTTCACAGGAAACAGAACACTCTGTTCCACCTTATGATGTCATGTGGTGATACAGAAAGTGCTCCACTGTGTTTTTAAACTTCATACTCTTTCACTAGAATCATTTGGATAATTTCAGTTTTGGAATTGCCAATATCTAATAAACTAAAAGTAAAAAGTAGCTGTTAATGTGAAATCTACCACTACATGACATCACAAGGAGGAACAGAGCATTTGGAGCTTTGGAGATGTAGACAGACAAATAATAAACAGTTATTCAAACATGTGTGAATAAAACAAAACACACTCCAGCTCTTCTTTGGACGACATAACAACATTACACCATGTCTTAAAGCTCACAAGAGTCACTTTTAGACTCTTTAAAGATGCACTATGTAACTTGATCCAATGTAAAGGTTTCAAACTACCCCCGGTTTCAAACTTCCGGGGGGTAACTTGAAGCTGGTTACAAATTATCCCCTGGTAATTTGAAAACGGCTTCAAGCTACACCCATAAAAATATTTTTTACAGGCATTTATTTAATTTACAATGAAGTTTTATTTATTGTTTCTACAATGATTGAACACCTATGTTTAAAGAGTTATGTATTTAGATAAGCATGTGTGATAAAATAAGATAAATCTTTATCGTGTGTATATCGTTGGAGTTCGACTTCACTTTGCGGCGTCTGGACTTGTAAATGTACTATGCTAGTGTAGATGTACGGTCAAAATGGATAAGATTTCACAAAAAGAAAAGGTCTGAATGATTTCATGGAAAAAGTAGGATACGGTTTCAAAAATAAAGAAGAAAAAGTTGTAATGATTTCATGATAAAGGCTGTGCATAATAAAAGCTTTGCCCCTGCACCTCAGTCCTACTGGAATGATTTCATTTCTTGTACTGGTTCTGTGAGTTTGTCGTTGATATAATCAGTTTGATTGTGCACAGTAAAGGCTTCGCCCCTGCACTTTATGTATTATGATGATTGTATTCTCTTTATAATTTGTGTGATATGAAGCAATAAAGCAGTATAAAGCAATAAAACATTGTATCAAATATATTCTTTTTAAAATTACTGAGAATCGAGACGGGGGGTAATCTGAAAACAGACGGGTTAAATTGAAAACAGCGTTTGAAACTGGTTTCAAATTACCTGGGGGTCATTTTTGAAGGGGGGAGTTTGAAACTGCTACACCAGGACTTGCTTGTCTCCATGGAAATATTTTGCTTCATGTGAACCTGGCTCACTCAAGTTCACCTGTGCGAAGCCCCGCCCACCTGGACAGCAGCCAATAGAGGAGCGGCTCTGAGTCGCTGCAGGAAAAACACACACACAAGCTTCTTCCTTCACACACACACTTTTCTCTGGGACACTCTGGACTCTTTGGATCTGCTCAG